TGCATCATAACAAACACCTCCCACCCCACCTCCCACCCCTCCCCCCCCGTATAACCTGCAAGTGTTGTTAGGGAGCACCTTTGAAGGTCGGCACGGCACACCACGCCCGGCCGCCTTTGTCTCCCTAGCGGCGGCGTTTTCACCACCGCACCGCGAACTCATTTTTTTTTGGCTGAGTCGACCTAGGGGAGAGGCTCGGTAGCGGTTTAGATGATCGTCACTGGTGTTTGGCCCTTATCGAGGTCGCTGGGTTCGTAGCGCGACGCGCAACCTCGCACCTCCGATGAGCACGGTTGGCTAAGCACAGTGCGAAAGAAGTTCAACACACAACAGTACATATACACAACCTCTACACTGCTTTTTTGTTTTTTTTCCGGTAAAGTCACGTAGGTAAAAAAAAATCAATAAGAGAAAAAAATGAAAACAACTACATTTAATCATGACGTTTTGGAGCGCAACGCAAGCGTCCGTCATCACGTGGGGACAAACACAGCGAAGGGCACCTGATGACGGACACTTGCGTTGGCGCTCCAAAAACGTCGTGATTCAATTTAGTTGTTTTCGTTTATTGATATTTTTTTATTTTTATTTTTTTTACCTACGTGACTTTACCGAAAAAAAAAACAAAGAGCATGAATCCTTGCAGTCACGAAAGCTTCAAATCTAGAATCTCTACACTACAGCGTCTCGCCAGGTGCCCATTCCAGGCTTCCTAACAGCCCCGCGAACACGCGCGCATCCAACCCCCGCGGGTGTCATCAGCAGCGCAACGGCACCCTCTGCGCTCACAAACGTGTTTTGTTGTTTTACCCACCGTGGCAATGTGCGCAATTAGCCATGACAATGACAATTGTGACATTTCAATGTTTAACAGCCCTTTTTTTTTAGACGCGTTGGTGATATGTTAACTACGTCGCCTGGTATGCAGGAGGTTGTGTCTGTACGATCACCGACCCTTACGCCTGCTGTATATATATTTTGAGTTTGAATGTCTATCTCACCCTGTTGTCGCGTGGATATTTCTCCGGGCCGCTATAAAATTTAGAATGATGATTTCTAGATTATTTGGTGACTATACATTTACCACGTGATAAGCCACTTCATTGCGCAATAATTTGTGTCCAGGTCGCTTTTGAAAAAGACCTATGCAGCGCAATGGGACTTAGGGGCCGTCCATAAATGACGTCACGCGATTTTGGACGATTTTTAACCCCCCCCCTCGTCACACGGCGTCACAAAAGTCAGACCCCCCTTCAAATATGACGTCACAAAGCTATGCCCCCCCCCAAAAAAAACCCATAAAACACGAATTTCAGAAGAGTGTTAAATTTCGTGTTCAAAGTCCGCCAGGAAGTGTCTAGCTGTGTTGTTGACCTGACTGGTTGTGCTTCACATAATGTTCTTTCAGGTTTGTTGAATTCTTGTCTCTCATCTTTGTGTTGTATTTACCTCCATGATTTGTTCTTGACACCTGATGAAGATCGCTTGTGTTGTGATCGAAACGTCGTGATTGTTTTGTTTTAATATAATTTTATTGTATTTCTACATACGTGACTTTACCGAAAAAGAACAATGAGTAATTTTAAGCAGTCACGAAAGCTTGAATAATTTGCCCATCACCATGGGAAGCAATGCCATTGTTTTTCCAGGAAAGCGTAGATTAGTCTCGCATCTCTATTGGGAGATTTTTTGTATCAGAATATTTGGCCAATCGTTTTCAAACTTAAAAAAGAACACTCGTCTACAACACCGCCTGAAATATATGTCATAGGCGACGTTTTTGGGCAATGGCCCTTTTTCGTGTCTGTGTGTGTGTGCGCTATGAAAAAGGGGCATTGCTTGAAACACCGCTTGTTATATGTATTTGTGTTGCGTGTGATTGTAAATGTGCCTCCGTGGTTTGCAAGATAAGCACCGCCCTGGCTCTGCTACGCCACGCCGTGTTGGAGTCAGCAGCGGTTGCCTTGTAATAAAGAGAGCACTGCGCTGGACGACACTGGACCCTTGCATCGCGGGCTCACAGCTACCAGTTGTAGTACAGCGCCTCCCATCGCTGAATGAGTGTAAAGGGACACTGATGACTTCGGAGCCGCGTGCGGATCTTTAAGGACTGCTTCGTGGACGTTATTTATTGAGGACCACCGTCTCCTATTTACCACTTGCTTTGAAATATTACTTTTTTTTTTACTAATTCCAAAAAATGGCTCTTGTTATTTTGGTTGCCAACCCCTTTGTATGGGAATGGTGCCGCGGTGGCGAGATGTTATCTCCCTCGCCTGGTGTGCAGGAGCGCGTGGGTTCGATCCCGACCTTGGCACCTGTGTAGTTGGAGTTTGTATGTTCTCCCCGTGGTCGTGTGGATTTTTCTCCGGGTTCTCCGTTCCCCCCCTGCACATTTAGCATCAACATGCGTTTAGAGCATTTCGCTGCTATACGTTTCCACTTAATGATAAAGTACTTCGGTGAGCTATAATTTGTCATGTCGCTTCCAAAAAAAGAGCTGTACAATATAACTTAATAGGCCTTACATCGTTATTTTTTTATGTGGAGTTGGCTTGGCCAGGATCTGCTGGTTCCAGGGCAGAGTTTGCTTAGTGCCAATGCTGTGCTCTCGGAGCTGCAGAAAAGTTGGAGATGGGGTTCCCTGCGTGTTCCAGAGCCTGGAGCCACATCTAAGATTCCAGTGGAGCTCCACCGTCTCCTCTCTCCACTGCCATATATATAAAATAAACCTCTCTGAATTACTTCAGTTGATGCGTTTAAAACCATCGTAAGTACCGTGTATGTCCTTGAACACAATTCAGATATCTCAATATAAGTTCTGAATTATTTTAATGCGACAAATGGAATAAACAATTACTGGACTTCATTGTACTGTACGCGGTGCTCAAGGAGAAATACAAACATATAAACCGATCTAGACTCAACTAAATATGTTCGTGGCCATTATTCTATAGTAAGTTCCGTGCTATCACTGGCGAAGCCAGTTGGGGGGGTGGCACGTGTCCTCCCCCCCCCCCCCCCAATGATCCGATCGAAATTAGGGATTTTGATCGGATCATTGGGGATTATTAGTAATACATCGGCATTTTGCGACCCCCACTGCCAGGGACTCTATGAGATGATAGGACAATAGTCTGAGTCCATAATTGGCAATAAGTAACGGCAAAGCAGTTATAAGTGACTCAGAATTGTGCGCAGTTGCATATACAGTACACGACTTCCCTGAAGGCATTCACCTTCAGCGAGCTGTGATGCCAATCACACACGGTTCGAATTCGACCCCTGGTCGATGGCTCACTTCGGATAAAAAGCAAGGGACAAGTCCTTCCTTACCAACAACTCCTATAATTTTTCATTGCTGGAGGGGTTGCCCCCCCCCACCCTACCTGAAAATCCTGGCTCCGCCATTGCGTGCTATCATCTTCACGGGTATCACCGGCACCACTTGGAGATTTCCCTTGATACACTGTGGGCCCACAGGGTCACTGCCATAACCGTTCATCTCAAATATTTATCTTGACGAGCGTCAATGGTAAATGTCGTGATGTCTAATGCAATGGCTATGTTAGCATGATAAGCGAGACGAGTAAGTCTGGTTTGAAAGAATGCAAAGGACATATTTTAGAATTTAATTGAAAACATTCTGGTATACAGTTTTTATGTTTCTATCTTTAGTTACCAATTGCACGATTCAACATCACGAGGTGATTCAAGAACCAAACATTCGCGAGCCCATAATATACCCATCACGAGTCCATGGTTAACGCAATTATTAACCCATCACTAATACAATCATTAACAAAAAAAACAACGAGACATTACATACATCTACCATAATCGACTCTTAAAAACATGATAATAGGAAATTACCCATGGTAATCGATTGATAGATTCATCGGAATTCTAATTACACGGCCCCTACACCTCTCCATGCCTCGTTGATCACGTCTCAGTTTTCTTCACGTCTCAGTCAATCTTCCCCGGTTCGGATCCATGTCATAGCAGGCATTAACGCATTGCCATGGTGGCGAGATGTTAACTCCCTCGCAGGAGGGCTCCGGGTCCAATCCCGACCCTGACGCCTGCTGTATAATTGAAGTTTGCGTCTCTCCCCGTGGTCGAGTGGATTTTTTACATTTAGACTCAACGTGCGTTTCGAGTATTTGGCTGCTATTACATTTCCACGTGATGCATCACTCCGTTGTGGTCAGGTCGCTTTCTAAAAAAGAGCCAACATAGCCAGTGCCGGATGAAGCTAGTACGAGGCCTGTAGCATATTTTATAAAGGGGCCCTAATTTTTTTTTTAAAAACACATCAATATTAAAACACATGTTTTACTTGCATGGTAAAGTAATTGTATGTTTGCCATTTGCTATACAACCAGATAATACGACAAATCGCTAACCTTAAATACCCAGTCGTTCATAAAAATTGAAGGCAGTATAGTACTATAGTAATAGAGCCAGTGCACAATCACTGAACCGGAATTGATAGCTTGAAAGCATAGATGAACTCGTCTATCTAAACAAACTATCAAATCGCTATCCGTGGTGCTAACGTTAATAAAGAAATAAATACAAACCGCCACTTCTTTCAAGTGTTCTTGCCGTTGGTTTTCACACCTGATGATGACTGCTTGTGTTGCAGTCGAAACGTCGTGAGAATTTTATTGTTATATATTTTATTCTTTTATTGTTTCCCTTCAACGTGACTTTACCGAACGAACCAAGAATATAGCTTGAAAGCATTTAGCGCGGGGCCCTTGAAAGTGCGGGGCCCGTAGCTACATATGCAGTTACTTTTGCTACTAGGATAATCCGGCACTGAACACAGCTCATCCGGTCCTTACCTGGTCAAACAACAACAACAAAAACCCCCACAGTATTTTTTGTTGTTGTATTACTTTGTTCCATTGATTGACACGCGGCGTGACGTCACGGCTCTCAAACTTCGTCGCATGACGTCACGCGCGCCCGTGTCGCAACCGCCGCGATGACGTCACGCGCGCCGCTTCGCTTCACACGTGGGAGGCGAGCATGGCGACGAGCGGCAAACTTGCGGGCGAGGCGAACGCGCCGGAGGAGAAGTCGAAGCCCGCGGCGAAGGGGAAGGTGAGAGGAGCCGCGCCGAGACTCCCGCATCAACGGGCGACCTCGCTCGCTCCGCACGCGAGCCGCACGCTGCTCGCTGCTTAAATAGGCGCCGCGGTGCCGGTTTAAACCACAGTGAGGCCTGGCTGGGTCGCCGCATCCCGGGCTCGGCTAGCGGCTTCGGCCAGGGGAGCGCGAGGGGGATACGGCGGGGTTGCGCTAGGCCAGGACGGTTGTGTGAAGGCCGCACGGCCTAACCGGAGCCGGTAGCGTTCATGTGTTGCACAGTAGTCAGTAACAGGTTTATGGGAGGGGGGGGGTTCTTCTTTAAAGCTTCATTGAGATGCTTGCTTGATGTTTGGCCCTTTTAAAAAGAAGCATGTGTTTGGAAAGAAACTGGCGTGCCTGGAGAATACCCACGGAGGAGAGAATACTCGCGTTTGCAATACTGTACAGTTCGCCTGATTGATACCGTATTCATATTCTTTGGGTCTTTCGGCAAAGTCACGTAAAAAAATAACGATAAAGTAATAAAAATGAAAATAAAGTGAATAAAGAATAATACTAAATATCACGACGTTTCGATCGCAACACAAGCAATCGTCATTAGGATATTAAAAAAGTCAAGATTGATACCGTATTCTCAAGAGCAGTGCTTCTCAAACGGGGGTAACGCGAGGTGATTTATAAATGCGTGACATCATACACGGGGGTCATTAGTGAATACTCAAGTATGGTTCTGTCAACATAAAATAACTGCGATAACATTTAAATTCATATGGTAGCCTAGAACGATGTAAAATATCTTTCTAAACTCATTGGTCGTAAACAATGAAGTTTCCAAAGAGTAACCGGCAAGCGCGAACATATTACTCCACGCATGCAGAGCAGCGGATGATTTGTTTCTATTCACTTGCAGTTGCGCGCGAGTTAGTTGAGATATTGATGTTCACTATTCATACATTTATTTCTTAGAACCATGTTGGGTCAGGCAAAAGGGGGTTTGTTACTCGCTTGAAACAATTCAACAAGGGGTGTAGTTGCCAAACAAGGTTTGAAACCGCTACGCCATAGCATGTTTACCCTTTTCCCTATATGTTAAAGTAGTGCCTCTTATGATCTCGTGTGTGTGTGTGTGCGCGCGTATGGCCAATTTTGTATAACTTTACGTAAGACTAGGGTAATGTTAACTAGTATGGTTAGGGCTCTTAATCGAAGCTGGCTCCCTAGTTAGTTAGGGAGCGAGCCTCGACTAAACTAAACACTTTTTTTTTTACCAGGTAAGGCCTACTGAGCTATGTAGCTATTTTTCAGAAGCGACCTGGCCACGCATAATAGCTCAACGACGTGGCTTATCACGTGGAAATGTATAGCAACCAAATACTTTAAACACATGTTGCTGGGTTACGTTCTGGTACAGTTAACCTTTTTCCCCGGTTGTACAGTGTGGCCTGTTCACTATTTATGCACATTTAACGGTTGATATGCAGTGTGGCACCACACCCAGCAAATGGACTTCATGTGCTCTTCTCTGCACGCATTGTGTTGTTACAACGGGTTTCATGTCTTCCGTTTGCCGAATGAATACATTATAAGGTAACAGTCGTTACACACCAAGTGCTTGCCACAAACGAACCGCAATACCTTGCAGATCTCGTCAAGGATCATAAACCATCATGCGAACGCCAGTCATCCTGTCAGCGGTTTTTGGCTAATCGTCAAACAAAGATGAACACTGCGTTGTCGCTTTGAGATGCGCTTCTGCGGCCTTCTGTAATGCGCTTTTTTACGATATTAGGAAGCCACTGGAGCTATGCATTTTAAAATCTAGATTGTAAAATAATTGATTTAGATCTGCTTTTTGTTTTTAGATTTTTTTGTCCTTCCCCCGCGCGCCCCTGATTAGCACAGTTGGCTCCGTACGCTGTGAAAGAAGTTCAACATACATACGTACATGTTGCCCACTTTGTAGAAGAAACCAGCCAAGCGGTACTGGGAGCCTGAAAAATTCGAAGATGTGATGATCAACAAGACTCCTCTAGAACGGAGCCAGGGAGAGAAGCCCGAGAGATGGGAGGTTGAAAATAAAGTTCAGCAACATCGGTTTTCGCAATCCGCCAAGGTGAGTGGCAGCAGGGTGGTCCATAAGGGTGCTTCAGTTACACAATGTTTTGTTTTAAAAGCAGGTGAGAAACACTTTGGCCTCTTGTGTAAGGGAGGCTTCGGTTGGAGATGGGAAAAAAATCAAGGTACGAAAAACATTTTGCTGCATAAAAAAATATACAAATAATAAAAATACTGCATATTATAAACATCCAAAACATTGCGCCAGACAAAAAGATCCCAAAGATGCTCAAGAACGGTGTTCAACTAATTGAAATAAGAATTAAAATGTGTACCCATATGTTGGATTCGATTTGAATTGCTTCCTGTAGGTGCCTGCATTTGTTTCCAAACCATTCACTTTTCTGATTTCTCAATTTTGTATTCTCTCATTGATGAAAAGTACAATAGCATCTCCCGTTATTCTAACTTATACAGCAGCTACAACAACAACCGCAGTTTGCCACTATGTGGCGGTAACGTTACCAGGCTAGGTGGACCTTGAGGCCACGCGAAAGCTTGCTGGCAGGTCATGGGATAAGCCCAAGTGGCATGGGTTGACTCACTGAGATGATTGGCAGATGCACCACCTGTGTTTTAACCGCCTGGTGCTCTCGTAGCGTCGCTCCTCTGCCCTCCGCTGTGTGTAGCAGTCACCCACACATAAAAACCCACATTTGTATGCAATGCGAGCCTTATTGCACAGCAGGCAAGTGTACACGAATAGCAGTGTTCCTCGTTAGCTGCGTGTTTACAAGAGCGTCGGTTCGCTTAAAACCTGATTATCTCATGTAAACTGATCGCACCTGATGTGACTTTTTCCTAACCGACTGCAGCTTGTTTACGTGACCTAATATAAAGGCCTTCACTTTGGCTAGGAACTCCTGTTCTGAGTCTGTGCCTGTTTAAATCGCCTCCAGGCACCTCGTGTTTTTCCATAGCCCGACATTAGTTAAGCGTAAGCTTCAACAGAATTCTTAAAATTTCGTGAGAGGTGCTGTGGCAGGGCACTGTGGCAGAGTGCATGACTCGCACCTCTGAAGGTTCAGAATTTAATTCCTGATCGGTGGTCGGCCCGGTCCATTATCCCTCCATGTTTGATAAAAAAAATTTTATTCCACTTTTAGAAAAGTGATTGTCTGATGGAGAGACTGGCCTTTTGGTATGGCGACGCGGAATTTACACTACTGGCTCATTGCCAATAACAGAGATTAATGCCGCCCCATATTCGTTTGACCAGGGAGACGCTTTGACTTTATGACCTCAAGTGCGTGGGGAACAGTGGTTATTGCACTGGACTAGCAATCCAGCAACCTGAGTTTTATTCCTGGCCATTGCTAATTTGAGCTAGAAGTGATATCGGAACTAGACGTGGCTCTTCGTTAGGTCGACTCAGCATGAAGTAAGCACCTGGCGCGCTGTGTAAACAGTTAGCACTGGAGAGACAAAGGGGTTGAAGGGTGGTGTTGGCCGCACTAAACCCCTCGCGTGCTGTGTTGGCTTGAAAATGCTGCAACAGTCTGCGGAAGGCTATATGGGGATATTTGTTTTTTTTGTGTGTTTCTTAAAACCAGTCCACAATCAGAGAATCCTGGGTTCACTTTCACTTGTTCTCAATTACCTCGTATCTCGTGGAGATGCATACTCCAAACTCGGCCATAATCTCACTCAATTTGAACTTTTAACCCCTCAAACACAGACATCCCATGTACATTGTTTGTACATTCACGAGTAGAGAATTTGTTGCTCTGCAATAGAAAATAAGAGAGCTGACATGTTCATACTCTTATCACATTCGTGTACTCGGAAGCACTCACAAGTAATCTGATTTATTATTTTCTAAAATGCCAAGATAATATGTATTGTACGTTTTTTTTCTTCTCTAGGACTTAAATAATTGCGTTAATAGGAGCACAATATTTAAAAGTTAGAGCAATTTTTAATAAACCATGTCTGTCTTCTGTGTCCATTCCTCCCACCTCTTCGTTGTCATCTATTATATGTCTTCCCACTTCCGCCCAATTCAACGTTTAATTGTTACATGGGAAAAGACTCGTTTAGCCAGTTACCCAGATAGTTTTTTGTGACTACGGCCCACAGCCACTAACAATAAAGTTATTGTTGGGGTGGAGGTGCCCAGCCAGCAGCTAGCCAGGAAACTCAGGAATAGATTGTTTTTGATAATAGTATATTTAAATTGATAAAACGCCATTAAACAATCGTTCTCAGGGCGTTAAGTATGATGGTTGTGGGTGGTGCAGGTAGTGCTGAGATTAGTGCACAGTGCTGTGGTTCCGGCCATGGCACACTCCAGTGATGATTGATCTGTGAACCAGTTCTGGGGCCGCCTTTATCAACCCTCTTTGACCAGCGTGGTGAAATTGGATCAAATCCCAGGGGTCTGAAGCAATTGATTGAGATAGGGTTGTGAATGATGTGTTTTATATAGTCATGATTCAGATTGCAATGTACTGACACGCCCCCCTTGTTGTGACCCCACCGCCTTTGTCTTCCTTCTCATCTCCCAGTCAAAGGACGTGTTCTTTGGTCCCGCGCCCCTGCCAGAGACGAGAGTGAAGCGGTTCCAGCGTGGAGAGAAGTTTAAACTGGTGCGTGTACCCAGTGTGTGTGTGCATCGTGTGTTGCGCTCCTTTGTGATGCAGACCGTGTGTTTTTACGTCGAGTGTCATGTGCCACGCATTGTTTGCTTTGGCAGTGGACTAGATACGTGTGTGTGTGTGTGGCACGTGGACTCACGGCGTGTCTAACACGGGCGGTGTGGCGCAGAAAGGACGGCAGACCGGGGCGTTGCGAGAGTTGGTGAAGCGCGCTACCAAGAATGCAGAGCTGGCGAGCCAGCAGACGGCACGGTGTGATCTGCTGTTGCCTGAAACGCAAGGGTGAGGACCCCGCAGCATCGCACTCCAGTTGATCAGAGATTGCTTGTGAACCGTAGAGACTGCTGGGACAAGCACGCATACACACACACACACATGGAAAGTCCAAGATCTTTGCAGTAAATATAGGGGAGGCCTGGGTCCAATACATAAGAAACTAGCTACTGGTGGTGTTTTCAACAAATAAACAGTTGATAATTGTTTTTTTACCCTTTTATCTGGCAACAAAACTGACACGTTTTTTACAAGGAGTCATGTTTACATTGACCACAATACCTGCGGTCGGAACGCAAACAAAAAACAACTCTGATAATATATGCAATTTCCTTGAAATTGATTGGTCCACACCCGAGACAGCTTTCTTTAGGGCCTCGTCTCACATGGTGTTGGACCAGAAGACGCCAAAAGGCGCGCAACTCAAAGACAATGCACCATCAGAGTATGAGAGCTCGGGGTAAGCATTTACACCATTGGAAACCTCATTTGCCAGTAACAAAATATGATCATTCGTTTTTTACCCTTTTTTTTGGCAACAAAACTGGCACCTTTTTTTTACAAGGAGTCATGTTTACATTGTAAAAAAAGGTGTCAGTTTTGTTTGCCAGATAAAAGGGTAAAAAAAACAATTATCATATTTTATTACTGGCAAATGAAATAAACAGTTCTCACACGCTTCTGATGTTAGCCATGACCCGGGTGAAGCAAGCACGTATCCAGTGATGTTATCATTGGCTGGGAATCAAACAGCAGCATATACTGCTGTTAGTGACTGGGCATCTAGCTCAGGTGGCCAGGGTCATTGAACAGCGCTCTCACTAACATATGAAAGTAAGGCAGTTTTGATTACAGAATGTTACCTTATTTCTTCCGTGTGTTTATGGAAGGCCAGTGAATGTTGGGTGCAATGATGTCCTCTATAATATAGGGGGTTTTTTTGGGGGGGGTTTGATCGCGTGAATATAAATGTGTCGTTAAACCCGCCAAACACTTGACACAGCACAATTTGTAAGGTTTGTCACGTAAGCAGAACATGCCATTATTTACAACTAGCATCAGCGGGCGGACAGCCAGATTTGTGGAGAAATCCTGTTTCGTTCCTTAATGATGTCCTCGTGGACATCTGTGAAAAAGAGTCGCACCTTGTCGGATTCCTCCAGGATGAATAAAGATGCAATGATGTCCACAGGTTCATAGAGCCGGACGAGGGTGAGGAGACGTCGTACATAACGCAGAGGGACATCCAGGATGAGGTGGACATCACCAGTGCCAGCAAGGTACTTAGTTTTTTTTTGTTTCTCGTGGTTGCACCCGATTCAAGAGTCGAATGGCTCACAGGGCTATACCAAAATAAACTGAACTAAATAAACTGAACTGAAGTTTTCACAACGTTTCGACCATAACACAAACGGTCGTCATTTTTTTACACCTGATGACGACCGTTTGTGTTATGGTCGAAACGTCGTGATAATTTTTATTGTTTTATATATATGTTATTGTTTCCCTTCAACGTGACTTTACCGAAAGAGCTAAGAATATGAATTACTGCAGTCACGAAAACTTTAAATCAAAGTTTGAACTGAAGTTGGGTGTGTGCATATGCATGCGTTTGTGTTCACATAGTGGGGAGCGGTGGTGCAGCGGTTAGCACGCTTGGCTATGAACCCTCCGATCCGAGTTTAACACGTAGGGTTTCGCGACCAATATTACTCATAATAAAGGTTTTTGGGTTAGATCGGGTAAGTATAAATGTGTCGTAACCCTCCAGCCAATTAGTAAGGGATTTGTCACTTAAACAAAACGCCAAATAGTTATTATTTCAGCCCACCTATGTGTTGGAGAGTAAATCCACAACATTTACAATTTGAGTGATGTTTCGCTGGTAATTACATCCAGCATCATCGGGCGATTTGCCCAGACTAGTGACGATTATCTGAACCGGTCCTAGTCTCCCCAAGGTTGACTCGGCCACAAATGAGTACCTGGTTTGGTGTGTAATCATTGCCACTAGGGAGAAAAAGGCGGCCGGGCGTGGTGCTGGCCACCCACCCCCTCGTGCGCCGTACCGACCTTCATCGGTATTCGCTAACACCTCTTGCCCCAACAGTCTAATAAGGCTATTCAAGGGGATCTGTGTTTTGTTCTATGTGCATTTAAGTGCGTGTGCGTGTACGCGTGTCTCTGTGTCTTGCTGCTCTCCCTTTCACAGAGTTTTGAATTGGACCTGAACCAGTTCGGGCCATATCGAGTGGATTACACACGCACTGGCCGGTATGCCTCCGTTTCTCTTTCCTGCGCATGGGGTTTGGTGGATCGCCAGAATGTTGCGACACTCCCTTCCCCGTGGGCTTCGAGGTGGTACCATACCCTGGTTTCCCAGGAGGGAGGCGGTCCGGCAATATGGGATATATAAACGCTGATTATTTGGATGAACATCTGAATATATAGAGGATCGAAGAGCTTGGGCAATTGCTGGCACCAGCTCACCGCCTGGTGGCCTTCCGGCTTGTCTGTGGTTCCTCAGCGAATGTGATGTGCAATTGCATGAACGACACAATGTAAAAATAAACATTCACTCACAGGCACCCCCGGTGTAAAGATAATTGCACTTCAGTTATTGTAATAGGGATGAAAAGGTGGTTATCAGTTGGACATGTCTAGAATGGAGGCGGTGGGCAGGTTATTGAGACGGGCATTGAAGTGGCACCCAGACACCCGTGACCAGGGGGAGGAGAAGACCTAAAACCAGACGGTAGCGGTGCTGAGACGGTATTCGCAGACCTTGGAGATCAAGTTGTGAGCACGCTGCTGTTACCCCTACGCTCTCGCATCTATGCTCCCCGCCTTCACCGACCCACACCGGCTCACTTTGTAAAGTATGGTTAAATAGCCCCCACAACCTGCACAGCGTGGGGAGGACCTTATTCAACAGTGGCTTTACAAAACAGCTGTACATGTCACTGAGTGTATTATAATTTTCAAGTAATTTCTTGCTCAAAAGAGCATTGAGGCAGTGATCATCTCCTGTTTATAGCCCTGAGCCTGTGGTGGAAATTCCACATTCCTGTGATGGGGGTGAGTTTCTCCATAGAAACACCCACTGTTGACTTCCACACAAAGTGGTATTAGTTTTATTAACCTCAGAGGTATGATGGGCTGAGTCAACTCCTAATCATATTTTGAACTCGCCACCTTCTGATAGTGAGCCGCTCGTTACCGCTGATTTATAATATTTTATACTGTATTGTAACATTTTTTAACGTGATGTCTTGTGCTGTTTTGTAATGTATTATGTTGTGTTGTAAACTTTTGCATTGAATTGTACGTTGTAAAAACACTTATTTTATGGTGAATTGTATGGTGATTTGTATCGAATTATACCGTGTTGTATGGAAATGCAACCTATTGTATTGCAATCTGCCAAATTGCAACATTGTATTGTAATGTATCAAATAACCTATTGTATTCATTTGCAACATTATAATGTATTGTACGATATTGTATTGTACTGTTTTGTAACGTATTGTGCTATAAGTCTATTGTGCTGTATTGTACGATATGTTATTGTAACGTATTGTACTACAATGTATTGTAACGTATTGTACTACAATGTATTTTAACGTATTGTATTGTAACGTATTGTACTGTAACGTATTGTACTTTATTGTAACTGTGTTGCGCTGCTGTCCAGGCACCTGCTGCTGGGCGGTACACGGGGCCACGTGGCTGCGTTTGACTGGGTCACCAAGTCCCTGATGTGCGAGATGAACGTCATGGAGACGGTCAAGGACATCAAGTACGTTCACTCGCACGGCCAAACAAAGACAAAGATCCCCCCTGTAGCCTTCAACAGACTGGTTGGGCAAGTGCTGCTTAGCGAGCACCTATGAAGGCCACCGGCACAGCACACGATTGGAGTGGGTGGCCAACACCACGCCCGGCTGCTTGTGTCTCCCCAGTGGTGATGTTTTACACACGGCACTGGATACACATTTAAGGCTGAGTAGACCTAGTTGACCTAGGGACCAGATATTCGCCACTTTTATAGATCCTTGAGCGGGATTTAAACTCGGGTTGCCAGGTTGGTATCACAGCGCGCTGGCCACTACACTACCATTCATATTTAGTTAATCATCGTTAAGATATAATGCCAATTTTCAGCTATACCCTCCACCACCCGACAGAGCCAATGAAACATAGTGTCACGTGGGAATGTGCCAATTTATTTTGTTTGTCAGCAACCGGTTATGTTGAAAAATAAGCAGAATCGTAAAAAAATAACAACATGTTTTTGTTCTATTTATAAACAGAACCATTCTTTTATGAAAAACTTAAATCAATTGTCACAATGCCCACATGACAGCTCGAGTTGTGTGGCTCTTGTCAGGTGGTGAAGGGTTGACAGCTCTCATTTGAGATTATTACACCTGCCCAGTCTTAACCCATAAAAGATACTGATTCTTACTCAAGTTTGATTGCATCTTTCTCTCACACCTGTGCTCATGTGCGTCACTTGCATAAAGTTTCCTGTTGTCTCGCTGGGCTCTTTCCTGGTCACATAATGGCCACTGAACTGTGTGTACATATTAACGAGCGATTTTTTTGCTTTAGGTGCCTATAAAGGGAGTGGTGATGGTGGCATGTCAGGATCAAATGTAACTCCGCCGCCGTTATTAAACGCGCAATAATTTCAGAGCAAAATCTAAAATGCACACCGGTGAATACTGGGTTGTCTGCCATACTCTATACATTCACACACATTGAAATGAAATCACCTTTTGGGATTGGAAAAAAAAAACAGATGGCCAGCATCGGCAGTGGGGAAACATCAGTCGCAAATGATATCAGCAGCAGTTGCGGGCCTCCCCTCGGTCAATTCAGTCTGAAATGAATACCCAGCACAAACATGTAAACATCACCACTATGAAAATAAAGAGGCCTTGGCATTGGGCTGGCCACACCACTCCCCTCCTGTACCATCATTAATAGTTTATTGCGAGCAGCACCTGGGTGATGATCGCGCTGCTGTTGTTTTCCTTAATAGTTGCTCACTATTAGCACCTTCCCTATGTTCCCCCCGGATCACCGGGTAATGACCGTGCTGTTGTTGTGACCGCGTCGGGGTACAGGTGGCTGCACACGGAGGCGATGTTCGCCGTGGCCCAGCTGCACTGGGTGTACGTGTACGACTCGCAGGGCATCGAGCTGCACTGCCTCAAGCGCTTCCACAACATCACCCGCATGGAGTTCCTGCCCTACCACTTCCTGCTGGCCACCGCGGTAGCACGCCATGTCATGCCGCACTGTGCCACGCCACACCACATCGCGCCAAATCACAGCATGCAGGCGCCGATCCATAGCATGCCAAGTTGTATGATGCCCAAGGCACGGCGTGCTTGGCCATGCCATGCCGCATTCCACCACACTGTGCCACGCCAGGCCACGCCACACTAATCACGTTACAACAAATGACACCACGCCTAGCCACGCAGCATCACATCGCGCTGGGCCATGCCAGCCACCGTTAATCCACGCAAGCACCCAAACATCACCACGCATTGTTGCCTGTGCAACCCATTTGCATGTAAGTAAAGAATATGATCTTTTATGGAAACGCCGGTGGCCCGACACGGAAAGCAATGGCTGACCCTGATCAAGCTGTTGTACTTCTCTAAGTTGTCGTTCGACACTCTAAGCTTTAAAACCCACCGACCCAGGCCGCTCTTGCCTTTGAGACTCTCCTGGTCTCTTGGGAGTTCTTACCTGGTGAAGCAAATAAACTAGACTTGACCTTGCACAGTGTGTGGGTATCTTGTTGACCGCAATATTGATTGAATAATAATACTCCCAATGGCGTAATTTGCAGGTAATTAAAGAAAAATAAATTTTCCAGATTTTATGCCACAAATCGCTCAACGCAGCAGCAATAATCGCCCTCTACTGGCAGACGAATGCCCGTTTGCAGGCCAGTCACCTTGTGCCCACACGGAAAGCTGCCACTGAGGGTGCTTTCTCAAATTCAGATGAGATGTGATGGCGAGTGCTCTGAGACGCCCTGGTATATGGGGCACCATATAACCATAAAAAAAACTCAAAATTACCATTCATGCGACTTTGCATGCCTTGTCGGCCTTCATTGGTGCTTGCTAACAGCACTTTACCCTTTTAACTTGGGATGTTTGTCATTTCGTTGTGTGGTGTGTGTTGGGCAGAGCTCATCGGGGTTCTTGCAGTACCTGGACGTGAGCATCGGGAAGGAGATCTCGACGATCTGCACCAAAGGGGGCAGCCTCCAGACCATGTGCACGAACCCATACAATGCCATCGTGAACCTGGGTCACCACAATGGTGCAGCCACTCGCCACACGCTCACAAACCACACCGTACGCTCACCGCGTACCTCCCACGCTTACCAGCGTGCCGCACGCTCGCCAGCACACCGCTTGATCACCACACACGACATGGGCACCACCACACCACACGCTCGCCACCACACACCGCACACTGCACGTTCACCACGACACCACACTCGCCAGGACACCACACACTGCCGATAAGTATCGTGGAAGTTAAAAGCAGCCCGGAGTTTGCCTTCTTAAACAAATGCAGCGGGAAAACGCTGGTCCAGAAACCTAATAGGCTCATGGCTCTAAACGTTCCATTATTCTGGCTTTGGTCAAGACCATTCACTATTTATTAAACCATTAAGTGGTGCAGAGCAGAAGATAGCGCAACCAAATCATTGTTGTACTGTCCTATGCTCCCAATATCATCACTCGCCACCTTCAACCTGGGTGGTGAGGTCTGGTCAAATAACCCCCACAACCTGCACGGCATGGACAGGTCCTCATCCAGCAGTGGAATGGCACGAGGGCCATACCTGTTTACATGTTTTCTGACGATGTTTATTGCTTTCAAATTACGGTTACAAGCTCGGAACACGCCGCCCGGATTTCCTTAGAACATACAGAGGCGTGGGGTATCGCACGGTTGAGCGTAAACGCAGCCACCACCGTCGCCCCCAACAGTTGCCCAAGCTCTGCGTTTCTACATCGGGATGTTTGGGGCGAGGCGCGTGAGGGGCGTGTGTGCCGTGTCTCCACGGGCGCCCCCCCTCCCCCTCCTGCCTCCCGTGTGCTGACGGCGCTGTTGCCGGTGTGGGTGCAGGCTCCGTGACCATGTGGACCCCCACGATGAAGGAGCCGCTCGTCAAGATGATATGCCACCGGGGAGCCGTGCGCTCCGTCGCCGTGGAACGCACCGGCACGTACGTACGCACGCACGCGCGCAAACACAAAGATCCACAAAATAGCCTTGGCGGACTGTTGGGGCGAGTGCTGTTAGCGAACAGCACCTATAAAGGCTGGCATGGCACATGAGGGGGTGACTGGCCAGTACCACGCCTGACCGCTCTTTGTTTCCCCCGGAGGCGATGTTTATACACCGCACCAGGTACTCATTTGAGGCTGAGCCGACCTAGGGGAGGCCTAGGACCCATTCAGATAATCGTCACCGGTGTTGCTGGCCGTGAGTGGGAATCGAACTCGGCCTGCCGGGTTCGTAGCGCAGCGCGCCGACCGCTGCACCACTACTCCCCGCATCGCTCCCCCCCCATCTCCGATTGGCAAGGTTGGCTACATACAGTGCGAAAGAAGTTCAACATGCATACGGTAGCCACGCCCCTCCCTGCGACGTTCCTAGGTACATGGCGACGTCGGGGCTGGACCACAAGCTGCGAGTCTGGGACGTGCGCACTTACAGGCCTCTGCACTCGTACGTCCTCAGCTCGGGCGCCTCCAACCTGGACTTCAGCCACCGCTCACTGCTGGCCGCCACCTGCGGCAACGTTGTACAGGTGCACGTGCATCCATTCCTGTTTGCGCACGTGCGCACGTGTGCACGGGTATAAGTGTGGCAGTGTGTGTGCAAGTTTGCATGCAGTGAGCTGCCAGTGGGCATTCGACACTTCACGTGGCCTTAAAGTGCACATAGCCTGGCACAAGCGCCATGGTGACATCACCGCCACTTAGTGGCAAATGGCGGTTGCTGCAGTGGGGAGCAATAGTGTAGCGGTTAGCGCGCTATGCTATGAACCCGGCGACCCGAGTTCGATTCCTGCTCACGGCCAACGCCAGTGACAATTATCTGAATCGGTCCTGGGCCTCCCCTAGGTTGATTCAGCCTCAAATCAGTACCTTGTGCGGTGTCTAGACGTCGCCACTGGGTAGGCAACGACGGCCAGGCATAGTTCTGGCCACACCACCCAGTCATGTACTCTGCCGGCCTTCATAGGTGCTCACTACTAATAGCACTTGCCCCAACAGTCTGTTAAGGCTAGACGGGGGATCTTTGTGCGTGAAGTGGTTTTGTGATTAACGCACTGTGCTATTAACCCGGAGGCCTCAGTTGGATTTCGAGCGGTGGCTTGCATGAGTGGTGAATGATCTGAAGCGATCTTATCACAAGGGGGCACTATATGCTTTGTGAAGAAACCCGTTGAGAGCACACTGGTGCTGTCAATGACGCTTGGTGCAGTCCACTTTTCGTCTCCTAAATTTTTTTGCGTCTGTGTCTGAGCAGCTGTATTTGGGTTGAGTGGTGGTGCAGTGGTTAGCGCGCTGTGCTGCAAACCTAACGGCCAATGTTAGATGGCAAAGATCAATGACGAACATCTGAACTGGACCTAGGCCACCCATAGGTTGACTGAACCTTGAATTAGTACTTGATGCAGTGTATAAACAACAGGACTAGGGAGACAAAGGCAGCCGGGAGTGGTGCTATGCCACACCCCCCCCCCCTCCCCTCGTGTGCATTGCCGGCCTAAATAGGTGCTCAATTACAGCACTTGTCCCAACGGTGTGTGCGGGCTGTACGGGGGATCTTTGTCTTTGCAGGTCTACAAGGACACCCACCTTGGTGTGGGCCGGCCCTACCTGACGCACGTCTCTCCTCACCACGCTCACTCGCTGCAGTTTTGCCCCTATGAAGACGTGCTTGGTCTCGGCCATGGGAATGGCTTCACGAGCCTCCTGGTGCCCGGTAGGTTTCCCGGTCATCCAGAGTCGCCTTAAGTTAATGGTAACGAGGTGTTGTTGGGGTGGGTTCATGAATCTGACCTCCGATGACTGGGCAGGTGCTTGGGCTGCAGGCCTAGGTTACAGGGAGAGGATACTGCAGTGCAATACATTGTTGTACTATGCTACAGCATCTCTGCTCCCCATCTTCACCGGCCCCCTCTGAAGTATTGTGCATGTGCATACACGCATGTCTATGTGTGGGGGGATCGCTGGAGTAAATGTACGTATGTTGAACTTCTTTCACACCGTACATAGCCAACCGTACTAATCGGAGATGGTTAGTACATGGCATTGTAAACCCGGACCCGTCGGGTTCAGTGCTAGCCCATGGGCCAAACCATAATTCGTCACCACCTGAGGTTGCAAAACTCTTGTCGCACAGATTTATTTATTCGGCTAATATGGCTGAATTATATGTTGACCCATTGATTTCAAATGGTTCCCACAAAATTCACTATTATTAGTCACATAGAAATTGGATCTTCAAAAGTTAACGTCACCTCTGGTGGTACCGACAACAGCAATGTCTGGTCTGGGCTCAAGGGCTATACCTGGCCACGCACATCACCAGTGGCCTGTGGCTGCCCTAGGTCATCTCAGCCTTAAATGAGCACCTGGCGTGGCGTTTCCTCATCATTATTCGCACTCGGGAGACGCGATTGGCCGTGTGTTCATCACGCCAGCCTCCGTAACTCCTCTGCGGCCTTAATGGGTGCTCGCCGATGGTAATTGTGTTTGCGTGCGGTGTGCAGGAGCGGGTGAGCCCAACTTCGACGCGTTGGAGGCTAATCCTCTGCGCAGCAAGAAACAGAGGCAAGAGTGGGAGGTGAAGGCTCTGCTGGAGAAGGTAAAGCACGCACGCACACACGCACACGCACGCAGTCCTGCATACAACAAGGTTCAATCGTGTTTTGTTTAAAACCAGGTGAGAACTCAAAAGACCAGGATGAGGCTTATGTGTAAGAGTCACCTGGGGCGGTTAGTCTGCCGGTCGGGGTCAGTGATTGGTGCTGTGTGAAATGCCAATTGATTAACTTGTGGAAGATATTTTACCCCAACTCCGGCACACCACTCTTGTGAACGTTGTCACGGGATCTTTAATGTCCACTGCGAAGCAAAAACAGCACATGCATTGTTGTTACGGTTAATATCCCCACAGTAATAATTGGGCGGCCGCTGCAAGTGACACACATGCTACCGCTAGGCCGTGTCTCAGCCCCACAACAGCAACAGCCGCCACTATTCTATTCCTGTGCATGGAAATATGGTTCAGGAGCTAAATGCCAATGTCGAGGTCTGCTTGCCACGAGAGGGCTTCAGGACAGAGTTTGCGTGCTTTTGCTATTCCTTCACTGAAGAAGTGCAACAGCCAATGGGTGGTGACGATGTCTTCATGGCAATTGGGCCAAGTTTAGTGCACTTTAAAGCCACGCGAAGTGGCAAAGCCTCGCTGGCACAAGGTCACGGGACAGATCCAGATGTTGCGTGTTAAACGATATCACTAGCAGATGCATCACCTGCACTCCCCGCCATGCCAACTCGCCGTGTTTCTGTCACCTGGCGCTCTGCTCATTTTTGTAAGCGTCGGGTGGCTAAGCACACAAGCGTGTGTATACGTACATACACATATGCACACATACACACCTGCGCAAACACATGTACGCGTAAAATACACAGACGAAACAACACCTCTGCACACTGCGTGGGGAGCGGCGGTACGGCGGTTTTGCACACAGAGCTCGCCGAGTTTGACTCTTTCTTAAATAAGCACCTCGCACAGATGGTAGTGAACATGAAAGTAAACTACTCGTACTATATTTTATTTTACCAGGTAAGGCCCGCTGAGATATAGAGGTGTTTTTTTTTCCAGAAGTGACCTGGTCACAAATGATAGCTCAACGAAGTGGCTTAACACGTGGAAATTTATAGCAGTAGCCAAATACAGTATGGAGAGAAAATTCAACGCGACCACAGTGATGACATAAAAAAACTTCCAAATATACAGCAGCAGGCGTCAGGTTCGGGATGGAACTCACGACCTCCTGTATACCAGGCGAGGTAGTTAACATCTCACCACTGTGGCGCCACCAAATCAGCGCTGGGAAGACTGGGCCAGCTGGGCCTGGTTCTGTCCACATCGCTGCTCAGGCAGTGAGCGAATCTCGCCCCTCGTGATGGAGGAAGTGTCGCGTTGGCAGACGGCGGTGCTGAGGAGCGCGACGATTTCTCCGGGAAGGATGCGATAGCGCTGTTCCCGTTTGCGGGCCGTGCTCGACGGGATTATTGTTGGCGCTGCATGTGCTCCAGGGGCCGTCCGCTAATCGCGCCTGTTCAAGGGACTCGGAGATTTCAACAAAATCGCCGGCGAGCAGGAAGCGCGCAGTGTCCCGTTAGAGTGGCTGGTTTCACTTTATCAGCTCGTCGGCGGCGCGCGACAGGCATTGGGTGAGGCAGTCGCGATGGGCGCGTTGCTCCCGAGTCAACAGGGCCAGACTCTGCAGCTTCACGTTGAACTTTCCGAGAGCTTTGTCGATGGCGGTGATGAGGAGGGATGGCTTTCTCGCAGCAGGGCGGCCGCAGTGGCACCGCTTGTGCGTCACGGCAAGCAGGTCCTGGGTTTGGTTGTCAACTCTGGCGCCTTTCTTTGTGGAGCGCGTGTTCTTTACTCGTGTTCTGCAATGGGTTTCCTCCCGGGCTCCAGTTTCCTCCCATAGCTAAAGAAAACAAGTGCAATGTTAATGCTATTGGCCAAACATTCCAATACACGAAAAGGACTGGATTGGGATGAGACACACACGCACACAGCAGTAGCATTGCCCCCCTATTGCGTAAATTTGGCAGGACCCTCCTAAAGAGACTATTGAGACTCAATGATGCTTTCCTGGGTAAAGTTGCATTATAATAATATGTATGTATGTTGAACATGTTTCGCACCGTACGTACGTAACCAACCGTGCTAATCGGAGATGTGGGGGCTAATTGGAGGTGCGATGTCAGTGTGACGAGAGGGATGTGGAGGGGTTTTTACAGGAGTTTTTGGTAATTCGGTAGTGATTCTGTCCAACATGCGGAGGTTAGGTTGTGAAGAGAGGTCAACAGGCGGATCGCACTCGCAGGCCAAGTATTTTTTAATGGACCGCACAAATCGCTCAGAAGAGCAGAGGTCACCTTGAGCGTTAGGGCCTGAGTGAAGCAGGAGTGACAGCTGCGGAGAGAGTGAGACTAAGCAACGAGAGAAGAGGCATACAACCTCTGAATGCATGGGATGCTGGAAACTCTGCGCCAGGATAATTTAAGCAATTCGGATGTTTGGAATAGAACGTAGCGGTGAAAGTACCATATTCTTAATCAGCAAGTGAAGATTGTGATGGGTGGGACTCGTGCGCAGGATAGAGGAGGGAAAGTTACCCGTGCAGGCTCTTTGAGTGGCATCCAGAGGTCGCTGGATTCTCACCGTCGCCACCAGATGGTGACCCTGAGACCGTGATAGCAGGCCTCGGTTGAATCTCGATTGCGATACGGACGGAAAGGAAGCGGTGGCGAGTTGTGGTGGTGACAACGTTTTCCCTGAAACTTCTGAGTTCACCTCCGTCTCGCACCGAAGAATCCGTAATGTACTCGCAAGAACGTGGCTGTTTTGGCGCGCTATGAATCCACCAACCCAGAATGGAGTTCCCTGGCCCTGCGCAACACTTTCAATTGGTGTCCAGCCCTGGTAGCAATGAGCCCGAAGTAGACTTGCCATGAAATGGGTATTTGTTGCTTTGTGTCAACTTGCTTACCGGGGAAACGAAGGCCCTATTAAGTTGTGCGGTTGGAGAGTGTGACCTTTGGAAAACATATACACGTATTTTATGCACGAACGTGTACCCTTGTTAAAATCACTTATTATGATGACTGCAACTCTCAGGGGGCCCCCCTCAGGTTTTTCTGAGGTTACTTTATACATCCCATGTCAGTCTGTAACTGGGCATGACTCTGCTGATGAGTCCATAAAGAGAGCGAACTGCATCCGTGTCGCCTGTGCAAAGGACCGCCTCTCTTAAAGGCACGTCGGCTGAAAGACGATGCTATTAATAAATTAAACACATTTTTGTATGTAGTTTTTTATGACACATAATTATTATTACTATTGTTGTGGTCCCGAGCAGTGAGCTGGTGGCACAGTGGTGAGCACAGTGCACTGTCAATCCGGCCACGTGAGTTTAATTCCCAGCCACAGCTAAAATCAGTGGTGAGTGACATTTAAGCCGGGCCCAGGACCCACCCCCTTCGCCAGCCTGCACTAACAAGTGTGGCGAAGAATGTTCAAACAACCTTCATTCGCGACCAACATGGCATGAAACTTAAAACTAAAACCTCTAAACTTTTAATTCACCAGGTAAGGGCCAACTGAGCTATAGAGATATTTTTCAGAAGCGACCTGTCCACAAAAAAAATAGCTCAACTAAGTGGTTTATCACGTGGAAATATATAGTAGCAGCCAAATACTCTAAACGCACGTTAATTCTAAATGCGGAGGGAAAAACCGGAGGACCCGGCGAAAAATCTACGTGACCACGGGGAGAGAGAAATGCAAACTCCAAACATACAGGCATCGGGGTCAAGATCAAACCCACGACCTCTTGCATACCAGGCGAGGTAGTTAACACTCGCCACTGCAGCGCAGCTCGTCGTCCAGCAGTGGCTTGACAAGGGGCTGCAAACTTAACTAAGCTATTTTCGGTGACTGCTGGTGACATTTCACTGCGCGACACGGTGACGACAGCCACGTTCACATCGCTCCGCAGCAAGCCCGAGTGAGGTCGAGATAACGTTCGAGAAGGCACTCCCTGCAAACAGAGATGTTTTGACGGGCTAGGCGCTAGCTCTATCTGCATCGTAAGAGCTGCGCTGACCGCAACTACGTGATCCCCTTCGCTTATCACGCCGCTTGCGCCCCCCCCCTCCCCCCCCGCCGGTGGCCCATTTGAAGTGGGGGGGGGGGGGGGGGTGGGAATTGCGTCCCGCCTTATCAGCGGCGTACTTTTCCGTTGGCGCAAAAGTCCTCGCTCCGGCCGAGGCTGGGCAAGTCTCCCGACCGCGTTTGCTGCGTGCAGCGAGTTCGCTATGGGGAGAGTTCTGCTCTCGCTTTGTTAGAGCAACGTCACGAAGCTGCTTTCGCGGAGAAACTATGACAGAATTATTTCACCCGTTTAGTATAAGCGCATGGCGGGGATAATAGTGCCATTGCTACTCATGCTGTTTTTATTTTACCAGGCCCATTGAAATATATAGAGCTGGTTTTTCAGAAGCGACCTGGTCACAAATGATAGCGCAACGAAATGGCTTGTTGTGTGGAAATTTATAGGAGGCAAATACTCTAAACACGTGTTTCTAAATGCGGAGGGAAAAACCGGAGGACCCGGATAAAAATCCACATGACGATGGGGAGACCAGGCAAACTCCAAATATACGGGCGGTAGGGTTGGGATTGAACCCACGACCTCGTGTATAGCAGGCAAGGTAGTTAGCATCTTGCTATCGTGGCGCCCCATGGGATATTAATGGCAGGATAGGATAAGCAACTTGGAGGTTGTTGAATAGAATGTGGCAGGAAGAATAGGTTGCAATGGGTAGGGAGCAAGGTTAATACCTACGTAGATGATGGTGGTGATGAGGCATCAGAGTGATACTGGAAGGACACGCAACAGTCCATCTAGTTCCTGTGCAATGTGAGAGGGCAACGGCTTGGAGAGACCTTCATCTATCCGTGGATATATCATGGCTGACGAACGATGATCTATCATGCTGTACCGCCGACAGTCTATGTGTACGCGTGGTAGGAAGTGACTTCGTTTTTGCTGTTATTGGTAACTCGAGAGCTGTTGTATTTATATTTTAAAAAAGAAGCACAGGCGCATTGGTAGAAGCCTACGCACACATGTGTGTGCGTGCACGTGGCTCGACTGAGCTGTCCCAAAGGGCCAGAGGCTGACTGCACTGAACATCCGTTTTCCCTTCACACTGCCAACTGGTCCCCCCTTCAAGTGCTGGCCTAAGACCCCTCCCTCTCCTCCTCTGCTTCAAGACCGTTTCAATCTCATCTCCCAAGTGTCAATCCACCCACATTTGTCCACCCAACGGTGTGAATGGCTGCAATGCAGCGAGTCGATTTGCAGGACGCGCGCGGTGGGGTAAGGTGTGGGTACTCGCAACCTCTGCCAACGCGTTTGGTCAATGTGGAAGAGTAGACCAAATACCCTCTGAGAGTTCACTCGTGGACGCCCTTCCTCCAGCAGTGGTGTGAACAAGAAATTGCAGGCATGCACCGTTGGCGTTTTCTTCTGTTTAAAAGACAAAAGAATGGAGTATTCCACTCCAGGTGTTTTACGCAACCGTCCACTACGTATACTTAGCTTTGCTTACCCCTCACCACTCTGAGATTCTCCAGGCTTGTCCCTCACCACACCGGGTGTCTCCAGTCATACCCCTCACCACTCTGAGATTCTCCCAGGCTTGTCCCTCACCACACCGGTTGTCTCCAGTCATACCCCTCACCACCCTGAGATTCTCCACGCTCACCTGTCACCACACCGGGTGTCTTTGGTCCTTCCACTCACCACACTGGGATGTCGATGTTTGCCTGTCCCCCCCTAGCATTGCTCCCCATATATGCGTATGTATGTTTAACTTTTTTCGCACTGTACGTAGCCAACCGTGCAAATCGGTTGTGTTTTGTCTGCCGAGTGCAGCTTCAGCTATTCCCCATTTATGTGCAGTGAATGTATGTGCTGTGCAGATTCAGCCGAGTGCAGATTCAGCCGTTCCCCCTGCATGCATGCATACATGCATGCATGTATGCTGAACTTCGTTCGCACAGTACATAGCCAACCTTGCTAATTGGTTTGTGTTTGGCATGCCGAGTGCAGATTCAGCCGGAGCTCATCACGCTTGACCCGGCCATGCTGAGCAAGGTGGACACGGCTTCCTTCGAAACAAAGTACGCGGAGAGGGTGCAGCGGCTGGTGAGTGCACAACACACCATAACACAATAACACGCCACAACACAACAACAACATCATACCACACGACCGATGTGTTCATGCTTTTGTTTATGTTGTTGAACGTTGGGGTCTGTACAGGCCTTCTAAACAAGTGTTGTCCCCCGGAATTTGTTTATGCACGCAAACTTTCCGGCCTGCATAGTTCACAATGGGGCCCCTTTTGTTCAGCGCCAAAACAGAAAACTTATAGAACGTACATTGGTCCGAAAAGGCCCTAAAGCCAATGGACAATAAAAAATGTTTATTGCCCACGGATAAACGGACTGTGTGCGCATTTCTATTTTATTGGTGATCCATGATCCTCCTTGCCACGCAGTGGTGGCTACGCACGTGACCTGTAATCTAGCGCCGTCAAGGCAGCAAAGGGTTGGTGGATCACACAGAAATTGTTCGATGGTAGCACCGACTCACTGCCTGGCTGCATACCTGTCAAGCTTGGCGGTCGTTTCTCAATGACTGTGAGACGACGCCATATATAGAGCTAAACGTAACCGTCACACATCATGGTGGCGCACTATGAGTGCGTTTATCGGAACGCACTTCGATATCATCAAGGTCCCGGAAGCTATGCAGGTTTGAGCCTGTGTAGTGCTGGGGATGGGTGACCACCATGCATAACAGGTGTTATGTCCTGTGAGGCTACGGGCTGGGCAGTGGAGGGCAGCACAGCAAACTCCGTTGTTGTGCAGTAGAACCCTTCTTAACAACGATAATTGCTTCCACGAAACCGGTCGTTAAGTGATTTGGTCGTTAAGCGGGTCTAGGAAATACACGTTAAAGGCTTAATTCGTTCCGATAGCGTTGAGAGTTATCCTCTTTCACCCACAATAAAAAACTTACTTAGTAATATTTAAACAATGTATATTCATACGTAAACATACTAACAACATTATAGACACATAATATTAAAAGAAACATGGTTAGTCAATGCATGAATTGATATTTACTGTCCCTACAACAGCCCGTTGTTAACAGGGGAATGGTCTGTAAGCGAATACATTGGGCTCTATGGAGACGTGTCGTTAAGCGATTAGTCGTTCACAGGGGTGGTCATTCAGAGGGGGTTCTTACTGTTCTCTCTCATCAACTTTCCCCGCCACCACCACCACCACGCTGACCAGCGTATTGTGATCAAGCACTGCATGGGGAAGGCACTCATCCAGCAGTGGATTGACACGAGGGCCGTGCGCGCACGTTACTCAGCACGCGTGTTAAACTACCCGTGGCCTGTACGCATCGTGAGCGAAGGGTTCATCAAATGTTGTCCTGATTTGCCGCTCGTTTGACCGAGCCTAAAATTAGAAGCCCTCCCCCGCCCCCCCGTGCATTGAGGTTGTCAACAATGGGGGAGACAAAGGTGGTTGCAGATCAGCCCTGGTCACAATTTCCCATTGTATGCCTTGTCGGTCTTGAATAGGTGCTCGCTGACAGCGCTTGCTATAACAGGATGTGCGATTTCCATGAGTGTCTATTGATAGGTTAAAAAGAATGGTTATTTTTTTTTTCGTTTGTCTTTATGTCTTCAGCTCTATGAATATTTGCAGCGGCGTGATAATATACCCTGTGAGTGCCGTCGGTTGTATTTCTGTGTTTATAACATTGCGTGCAAATATTCTGTGCTTAATGTTTCTTTTGTGTGTGTGTGTGCGATGCGGGGACCGGTAGTGTAGCGGTTAGCGTGCTGCGCTATGAACCCGCCGACCCATGTTTGATTCCCGCTCACAGCCAACACCAGTGATGATTATCTGAACTGGTCCTAGGAACCCCCCCCCCCCCCAGGTCGACTTGGCCTCAGATCAGTATCTAGTTGGTGTGTAAACGTTGCCACCAGATGTGGTGCTGGTTACCCACCCTCTCTAGTCTGCTGTGCCGGCTTTCATAAGTGCTCGATTACAGCACTTGCCCCAAATGGGGATCTTTGTCTTTGCGCCGTATGATTGTGCTGTGTATGTTTTCTGTATGTGTATTTGCGTGTGCTTTTGTTTCCATGGGGGTGTGTGCTGGGTGTTTGTGTGCATTGTATATCAGTGTTCCACGTTTGTCTTTTCTGTGTTTGTAAGTTGCTTGTGTGTACATATTTGTTGTGTGCTTTTGTGTGGTAAATGGTAGTGCAGTGATTGGCGCACTACCCGGCGACGCGAGTTCAATTGCCACTCATGACCAATAACAATCTTGCTAATGATTGAACTGGGCCTGGGCTTACCCTAGGTCGACTCAGCCTCAAATGAGTTAGTGGTGCGGTGTGTAAACCCACTGGGAGACAAAGGCGGACGGGTGTGGTGCTGGCCACCCACCCCCTCGTGTGCTGTGCTAGCCTTCATAGGTGCTCGCTAACATCACTTGCCCCAACAGTCTTGTCAAGGCTATACAAGGGGATATTTGTCTCTGTGTGCTCACCAACAATGAGCAGAGCACCGGGCAGCCAGTCATCTCAGTCAATCCATGGCACCTGGGTCTATTCCGTGACCTGCCAGCGGGCCTTCACGTGGCCTCAAATTGCACCTAGCATGGCACAAGAGCCGTGGTGACGTCAACGCCACTTAGTGGTAAATGGCGGTTGTTGTTGTGTGCTCACCTGGCCCCGTGTGCTTATCTATGCAGGGTTTCGACCCAAAAGCTCCCCAGAAGTTTGAGCCGAGGTACCGCACCAAGGGCCGCAGCTCCACCGCCAATCGCGAGCTGCGAAAACGCATCGTGGCAGGGACACAGAAACGGGTAACGATCACACAGCCTCACTCGGCCACGCACATCCTCACCGAGTAACTCACAGCCTCACCCAGCCACTCACAGCCTCACTCTGTCACTCACACCTTCACCGAGTCACTCACACCTTCACCGAGTCATTCACACCTTTACCGAGTCTCTCTCACCCAGCCACTCCCTCACCCAGCTACTAACAGCCTCGCTCAGCCACTCGCAAGCCTTACCCAGCCACTCACACCCTCACCCAGTCACTCGCAGTTACTCACCCAGCTACTCACAAAATTACGCACTCACATCTTCACTGAGTCACTCACACTCTCACCCAGCCACTGACTTGCCAAGTCGCTCACAGCCTGAGCCAGGCACTCGCATCCTCACTGAGCCACTCACACCCTCACCCAGCCACTCACTCCTCCAGACAGCAACTCTCACTTAGACACTCACACTCATTCAGCAACCTACTCACCCAACCCACTCGATCACACTCACCCTCGCGGCTCTGATAACGTGTGTTCCCTTGGAGTAATTGCCCTGTGTGCGTTGCTGCTTTCACACACTGTAACTCTAGCCTTTGCTTATTTATTTAAAAATTTTGTTTGAACGCTGCCCCTTAGGAGACGATCAAGGCTTCTATGGAAGAAAAGCAGAAAAAACAGAGAGAGAAGATACAAAGCAACCAGACGGAGGCCAAGGGGGGAGCCCTGCAGAGATTCAAAAAATAAACACGCGCGCACACGTATATAATACACAGAGACATACACACGTGTATATATGCAGACAATCTCGCATGCACATACACCGCATCACACGCAAATACACTTGCATGTAGAGAGCCACGCGCATACCCACGCATATACTCGCATACACAGACAAACGTGTACGTGCAAAACCAAGACAAATAAAAAAAATGCACCATTTACCTTTTACAAACTGTTGTGGCAAATGTTGTTAGCGAGTGCCGATTAAGGCCGTCATTGCCCTGGTGTGGCCAGTCCCACGCCGCTTTTTTCTCTCCTCGGTGCTAATGTTTACACACCACAGCAGGTACTCATGGATGATGCCACCTAAGGGGGGAGGCTTAGGACCACATCAGACATTTGTCACTGATGTTGACCGTGGCTAGGAATTGTAAAACAAGTCGCCAGGGTTCGTAGGGTAATGTGCTAACCACTGTAGCACAAACACGTGCACGTGTGTGTATGCGTGCATGCATGCATACACACACGTGGTATCGTATCCTGTCTCCTACACTTACACAGTGTGTGCAAATGTCTCAGAGACACTTGACAAATTACACGGCAATAATCGTGCCCTACTAGGTCGCCTTGTGCCACACAAGGACAGCTGTCACTGGGGGTGCCCTTTCAAATGTGTTGAGATGAGATGCGATGCAAAGTGCTCTTAGACGCCCTGATGTATAGGTGGCCGCGATATCAAAAACATCACACACTTAACACGCACATCACCCTTGCAGTACGCGTGCACACCATATGCGCATGTTTGGCGTACGTGGTATACGCGTGCGTACACACGTGGAGCGGTAGTGTAGCAGTTAGCTTACTGCACTGTGAACCCATCCACCCGAATTAGTCCCGCTCACAGCTAATGCCAGTGGTGAATATTTGAACCGGTCCTGAGCCACCCCGAGGTCGACTGTAAAGATCGCCACTTGGGAGAGAAAGGCGGCCGGCCATGGTTTTGGCCACCCACCACCTCGTGTGCCATGCCGGCCTTCATCGGTGCTCACAGCACTTGCCCGGACAGTCTGTTTAGGCTATACGGGGGGTCTTTGTACACACGTGAATACACATGCGTATACATGTGCAGTGAATTTCAAGTATAACAATTGCACGTGTCTTGTATATTTCCCATGGCTTTAATTTGTTATTGTTTGAACTTTTTTTCCCCCCTCAACAATAACTGATATCTGTGCAGCAAGTCTGTGAGCCCCTGTGGTTGCTGGCACAGATGCGTATGGCATATACACGCAACGCATGCGAAGCAAAACACACAGACGTTTTCACCCAGCTCTACACTGCAGACACAGCTGCCCGAGTCTCAATACCGATGTTTATACACAACAGGCCTGGATACTAAGAATCTGTTTTAGATTTCTAAGGACCATTTCGTATCGTTTTGGATCGAATTCATATTCTATTATGCGAATAATAGGGATGTCACCCGATGCCACGTGAACGCCACTTTTATCGGGAAAAGTGCGTAAGTGACATTAGTAACAGTTTGTGATGCTGCTGGATTGGGAGTGGTGCAGCAAGCACGATTTACAAATACTCAAACACATTTGTAAACACTTTGTGGCCTTAAAATGAACACATGTATATATACGCATTAATCACAACATTAGAAACATCCCTACAGATGCCAACCAGTAGCTGGGTGGTGGTTACCATTATACACATGGTCTGCAATGCATAAACTATAACTTTTTATTTTGATAGGTAAGGCCCATACTCTGGTTTTATTCGGTAAAGTCACGTAGATAAAGTAAAACAAAATGAGACAATTAAATCACGACGTTTCAGAGGCAACACAAGCTTCCGTCTTCAGGTGGAATAGTCAATATATGTGTCAAGAGCACTTAAGAGCACTTGACACATTCTACAGAGACTTCTACCTGAAGACGGAAGCTTGTGTTGCCTCTGAAACGTTGTGATTTAATTGTCTTATTTTGTTTTATTTTATCTACGTGACTTTACCGAATAAAACCAAAGAGTATGAATCCTTGCATTCTCGAAAGCTTCAAATCTAGAGGTAAAGCCCATTTAGTTATATAGCTCTTTTTCAGAAGCCACCTGGCCACAAATGATATGTCAACGAAATGGCTTATGCGGAAATGTTTCGCAGACAAATACTCTAAACGCATGTTGATTCTAAATGTGGAAGGAAAACCCGGAGAAAAGTCCACGCGACCACAAAGACACGCAAACTCCAAATATACAGCAGCAGGCGTCCGGGTCGGGAACAAACCCACGACCTGCGTGCCAGGCGAGGTAGTTAACATCTCGCCACCGTTGCGCCCACTGGTGGCGAGGGTTAGTGGCTCGAAAAAAAAGTTGCTGAACTTCCCTTTGGCGTCGAGGAGAAGCCAGGAGAATGAGGTTAAGCAACAGTGCGGATCCACACTGTTCCGCCTCTGGGATAGTGTTTCCCCCTTTGCACCCGTGGGTTTTCTCCAGGTACTCCGGGTTCCTCCCACAAATAAAACACTCCTTAATTGGTCCAGAGCACCTTAATATATATAGAGCACCCTAAAGCTTTGGCAATTGTTGGCGCCGTCTCATCGAGCGACTGACTTCCCACTTCTCTGTGATTCCTCCTTGCGCAGACTGCCACCAATTTACAAATACAAGAATTCCCGGTATAACTTTAAAGGCCACGGCGTGTTGTTCGTAGCAACCATCTAAGAAACATTGCCACACACACTACTTTCCAAACACAAAACGTGCAACCATACATACACCGGCAGGCACAAATGCACACGTTCTGCAAGCATGCAGTGGCGATTGCACAGTCATGGAGGCGTGCATTCAACAAGGCATGCAAAAAAAATCTACGTGCACCCTCAATCGCGCGCACTCTGCACTGCCGTATAAGCTTGCACTCGATCATGTATGGACGTACCCACAACAAAAGCAAGCCCCCCCCCCCCCCCTTTGGTCTGATCAGGTAGGACCGAGCGCTGTTTAAGATATATTTCGTCTCGCGCACACAGCCGTCCAGCACGTACACATTCCAGCACCCACGCCCCGTCGCTAGCGCACACGTGCGCAATCCATCACATCATCATACGCGCCTTTACACAAAATCACACGCGCGCACATCCAATTCGGCACACCCTTCCATCACACAAAGACATGCTGTATCTCTCCCCGTATAACATTAACAGAGTGTTGGGTGTGCAAGTGCTGTTAAGGCCGGAATGGCAAATACGAGGGGGTTGGTGGGAAGCACCACGCCCGGCCGCCTTTGTCTCCCCAGTGCTGATGTTTATTGCACCAAGTATCAAAATAAGGTTGCATTAATCTCGAAGAGGCACAGGAGCTGTTTAGATATTCGTCACTGATGTTGGTCAAGAGCGGGAATTGAACTTGCGTGGCCAGGCATGGATATTAAGGTGAAACGATATGCCATGCACACTAACACACACAAACACGCACACCATCACAATTACGTATTCCATTACATTTTGGCAAACGTACTCCATCGCTCACACATGCCAACACAGTCGCACACTCCATCAAGTACGTAATTGCACACTCCATCACGCGTAAATCCCACGCACAATAGCAGCCACATTTCGCTACTACGTGGTGTTGACGTCACTACAGCGCTTGTGCCAGGCTAGGTGCACTTCGAGGCCATCACCTGAAGTGTCAGAGGCTCGCTGCTGCGAGCAGGAGATCACGGGACAGACCCAGGTGCTGTGGGTTGACCAAGACGACTGGCAGAGATGCACCGCCTACGCCCCTACTGTGTCAACTTGCTGCGATTTACTCGCCCGGCGCTCTGCTCGTTGTTGTGAGCGTCGCTCCTCCGCTGTTGTTGGAGGGCGGCTGCCTCCACCTGTCCAGTAGCGTCCTTCACGAGCCTCCTCCTCCACAGAGGCCGATCTTGACACCGCTGGTATTGGTCATCTCCAAACATACGTTGCCACAACAAAGACAAACATCCACATTTAGCCAAATAACAGGTAAGGGAGAAGCCAGTGAACATGGAACGTTGGCCCAACGGTTCCAATCACGTGCCAACGTTGGCTCAACGTTGGCACGTTTACTGCTACGTGCTTGTGACTACTTCTGGTCGCGTGTGCCCATCGGCGTTATACTTTGTACTCACATCGTGTTTGTTTTTAATTTGTTGTAACGTTCTGACACGTCCCTACTGGATATTTGTGAGAGAGATAAAAAAGCTCTATAGCTCATCGGATTCTGCCGGTATAAATACAGATTTTCATTCTGACCGTCATTGCACACACGCAAGAATTGATACCACGTGAGCTCGCAAAACTTTAGTTTCAATTAGTTGGCATGCCGATTGAGAGCGCGTAATTTGGTAACCCCACTCATTTCAAATTGTTACGGCATAATTCACCGTTATTGGTCGTAAAGAAGTTGGAACCGTGAAAGTTATGGGACCCCAGGTGGTAACGACCAGTGAAATATCTGGCTCTAAGCTCATGGGCCAGCAATCATACGCACTCTGCAGTGCATCATACACACACACACCCTCTATGCACACAGCCCATCACTCGCTCTTCATCAATACACACTCAATAATGCGTTGCACCATCTCAATATCATCACACGCATACAATCGCTCACAACGTCTCATTCACCAATTGACAACAACCGCCGTTTGTCACTCAGTGGCGGTGACGGCGCTTGTGCCAGGCTACGCGCAACTTTGAGGCCACGTGAAGTGTCGAACGCCCGCTGGCAGGAGGTCACGGAACAGACCCAGGTGCCACGAGATGACTGACCGAGATGGCTGGCAGATGCACCCAGCTTGTGCCCCCCCCCCCCACTACTACTGTGTCAACTCGGCAGCATCTCAGCCGCCCGGCGCTCCGCTCGTTATTGTCGCTCCTCTGCCCTCCGTTGTTGCTGCTGGAGGGCGAGTGCCTCCAACTGCGCAGCAGCAGCGTCCTCGGCGAGCCTCCCCCATGCACACGCGACGTCCCACACACGGTCATGAACACGCTCATCCTCCGACACTCTCCCATCGCGCACACCATTACAAAGACACATATGCCCCCCACCACACCCTATAGCCTCAGAGACCAGTTTGGGGCAAGTGTTGCTAGCGAGCACCTATGAATACCGGCACGGAACACGAGTCGGCGGATGACCAGCACCACGCCCGGCCGCCTTTGTCTTCCTAAATGCCGACGTTTTACACACCGCACAGCGTACTCGTTTAAAGGTTGAGGACACGTAGGTAAGAGCCCGGAACCGGTTCAGATATTCGTCACCGACGTTAGCCGTGAGTGGGAGTCCAACTCGTATCGCGGGGTTCGTAGCGCACTGCGCCAACCTCTGCGCCACCGCTCCATATAATCGGCGCACACCGTGAGTGGGAGTCCAACTCGGGTCGCGGGGTTCGTAGCGCACTGCGCCAACCACTGCGCCACCGCTCCACATCATCAGCGCACGCCCTCCCTCCCCGCCTTCTCCCTCCCTCCCTCCCCCCCGCATCCGTTTAAAATCTGGGCGCCTCGCTCCCACTCGCTCACGAAACGCAGTGGCGAGGAGACGCGTGGGGGAAGACGACGAGGAGACGGTGACGGCGTGGAACACGGGCGACGAGAGGAGGCACGGGAGAAGACACGAGGGGAGGCGATGTGAGTCGCACCGCCACCACTCCCCTCCTTTTGCCGCACGCGGACGCCTCGCTGTTCCATTTAAAAGTTCAACTCGCTCTGTGCATACGCGCACAGTTAGTACTGTAGTAGTAGTAGCCCCACCCCCCCGCTCCATATCGGTCAATCCACTGCTGGATGGATGAGCGACTCCACCCGCCCCCTGTATCAGTCAATTCACTGCTGGATGGATGAGCGACCCCCCCACCCCCCACGCAGTTGCGGGTCGCGGAGGGGTTATTAACCTTGCCATGCTGGCCAGTGCCGGCTGTACGCGTGTATGTTGGACTTCTTTCGCGCCGTACGTAGCCAACATGTGGCACCCTATTGGTGCCACGCGCTCGTCGCAAACCCCAAGCGCCGCACAGGCCCAGACCGGCTGAGCTTGCGAGGTCTGGGCGGGTCATAGGACAACTTTCAATCGGTGTTGTGGTGAGGAGTGGTGTTGTATTAGTGGTGCTGTAGTGGGGAGTGGTGTTGTATTAGTGGTGCTGTAGTGGGGAGTGGTGTTGTATTAGTGGTGTTGTGGTGGGGAGTGGTGTTGTATTAGTGGTGCTGTAGTGGGGAGTGGTGTTGTGGTGGGGAGTGGTTCTGTATTAGTGGTGTTGTGGTGGGGAGTGGTGTTGTATTAGTGGTGCTGTAGTGGGGAGTGGTGTTGTATTAGTGGTGTTGTGGTGGGGAGTGGTGTTGTATTAGTGGTGTTGTGGTGGAGAGTGGTGTTGTATTAGTGGTGTTGTGGTGGGGAGTGGTGTTGTATTAGTGGTGTTGTGGTGGGGAGTGGTGTTGTGGTGGGGAGTGGTGTTGTATTAGTGGTGTTGTGGTGGGGAGTGGTGTTGTGGTGGGGAGTGGTGTTGTATTAGTGGTGTTGTAGTGGGGAGTGGTGCTGTATTAGTGGTGTTGTGGTGGGGAGTGGTGTTGTATTAGTGGTGCTGTGGTGAGGAGTGGTGTTGTATTAGTGGTGTTGTGGTGTTGTATTAGTGGTGTTGTGTTGTGGAGTGGTGTTGTATTAGTGGTGTTGTATTAGTGGTGCTGTGGTGGTGAGTGGTGTTGTATTAGTGGTGCTGTGGTGAGGAGTGGTGTTGTATTAGTGGTGTTGTGTTGGGGAGTGGTGTTGTGGTGGGGAGTGGTGCTGTATTAGTGGTGCTGTGGTGGGGAGTGGTGTTGTATTAGTGGTGCTGTGGTGAGGAGTGGTGTTGTATTAGTGGTGTTGTGGTGGGGAGTGGTGTTGTATTAGTGGTGCTGTGGTGGGGAGTGGTGTTATATGAGTGGTGCTATGGTGGGGGAGTGGTGTTGTATTAGTGGTGTTGTGGTGGGGAGTGGTGTTGTATTAGTGGTGTTGTGTTGGGGAGTGGTGTTGTGTTAGTGGTGTTGTGGTGGGGAGTGGTGTTGTATTAGTGGTGTTGTGGTGGGGAGTGGTGTTGTGGTGGGGAGTGGTGTTGTATTAGTGGTGCTGTGGTGAGGAGTGGTGTTGTATTAGTGGTGTTGTGGTGGGGAGTGGTGTTGTATTAGTGGTGTTGTGGTGGGGAGTGGTGTTGTATTAGTGGTGCTGTGGTGTTGTATTAGTGGTGTTGTGGTGGGGTGTGGTGTTGTATTAGTGGTGTTGTGGTGGGGAGTGGTGTTGTATTAGTGGTGTTGTGGTGGGGAGTGGTGTTGTATTAGTGGTGTTGTGGTGGGGAGTGGTGTTGTATTAGTGGTGTTGTGGTGGGGAGTGGTGTTGTATTAGTGGTGTTGTGGTGAGGAGTGGTGTTGTATTAGTGGCGCTGTGGTGGGGAGTGGTGCTGTATTAGTGGTGTTGTGGTGAGGAGTGGTGTTGTATTAGTGGTGTTGTGGTGAGTATTCGTGGTGTATTGGTGGTGTTGTGGTGGTGTGATTTGTACAGTACACTACCGTCCCGCAAAAACCGGATTTCATTTCCTGGTAATGCACAGAATCTGTGAAAATTGGTATCGGAACCGATATGGCGTCCACCCCGACCCTATGTTGACTCAGCCTAACATGAGCACAGTACCGGGTGTTTGAAAGAGATGGACCCGATTTGAATTCGCTTTGCTTTGAAATTGAGTCCATCTTTTCCAAACACCCTGTATTTCGAGTGTTTGTGGTTTAATTAAACCGAACATCAGTAATAGACCCAAAGTGGCTGTGCGTGCATGGTGCTAACCACTCCGCCTGCTTTGTATGTATGTTGAACTTGGTCCGCACCGTACGGTAGCTCAACCGTGCTCATCGGAGGTGCCGCTGATGTGGATTTAGATCAACGACTATAATGTGACAATGTGGTGGATGATGAAGCCAGGCGACTGCGTCAGGCGTAGCGGAGTGGTGCATCTTTGCCGTGATGATGATGCTGATGGCTCCTGCTTCGTCGTCTTTCTGAATCTGGTATTGAGTCGCATTTGTGCATCATCATCATCATCAAGTATCCACATCTGCCATGGTTTGCGAGGCACGACCAACCAGCAGCACTCCATCGGGCTAAAGGGGGGAGTCCTTGTCTCTGTGTGGCTGCTTTCGTTAAGTGACATACAAAGGGGCCGTCCATAAATGACGTCACGCGATTTTAGACGATTTTTGACCCCCCCCCCCCCATCGTCACACGGCGTCACAAAAAGTCAGACCCCTTTCAAATATGACGTCACAAAGCTCTGCCCCCCCCCCCCCCCCCCCCAATCATATTTCCATTTTGAAAAGAAAACATGCTTCAAATCGCTTTGAACTATTGTCATTGTAGCGCCTATTTAATGTGGCGCTGCACTCTGATGTTGTAGGAGAAAACACGTATTAAAAAGGAGGCGTTGGAAAGCTTACATTTATCATAAAAGTCACTTGAAAATATTCAACGTCTAACTAAAACTGCAGATGTTCAGACAATCATATTGAAATTATCTTATAATAATAAAATATTTAAAATATACTTGAAACTTTGTAGTAGAACGAAGCAAAATGGAGAGTACAATTATAAGAATCACATTCATTCCACAGAATGAAAAGCCCTGGTTAGAATCATTAGAATCTAAATGTTTAATAACAATCATTAAAACATGTTCTAAAGGTATGCTTCTCCATTCTCCCATGGAGAAGCAAAATGCTCCTTCATGGAATAAATAAAAGGTGACCTTAGTAAATTTAAATAATCAAATAGTTAAATTTCGATTTTAAACTTTCGTGACTGCAAGGATTCATCTTCTTTGGTTCTTTCGGTAAAGTCAGAAGGCCGCTTGTGTTGTGGCCGAAACGTCGTGGGAATATTATTGTGTTATTTTATTTTATCAATTTATTATTTTATTCTCATTCTACGTGACTTTACCGAAAGAACCAAAGACGATGAATCAAATAGTTAATAATGAAAATTAATGAAAATTAGTGTTGTTATAACAATTCTATTTATTTAAAGTTGTGCATTATGATGTGACGTCACATTTCTCAACCCCCCCCCCCCCCCGTCGTCACACATCGTTACAAATGTCTGACCCCCCCCCTAGATGCGTGACGTCATTTATGGACGGCCCCAAGCATACGTGTTGAATTTTCAAAGTGTGTGTCAAGTGCTTGTGTAAAAGCTTTGTGTCAAATATCTGTGCAGCAGAGTCTTGAGTACCATGGTCAGCGTGTCGGCATAGTGTGTGTGGATCAGTGTGTCGGCATAGTGTGTGTGGATCAGTGTGTCGGCATAGTGTGTGGATCAGCGTGTCGGCATAGTGTGTGTGGATCAGTGTGTCGGCATAGAGTGTGTGGATCAGTGTGTCGGCATAGTGTGTGGATCAGCGTGTCGGCATAGAGTGTGTGGATCAGTGTGTCGGCATAGTGTGTGGATCAGTGTGTCGGCATAGTGTGTGTGGATCAGCGTGTCGGCATAGTGTGTGTGGATCAGTGTGTCGGCATAGAGTGTGTGGATCAGCGTGTCGGCACAGTGTGGATCAGCGTGTCGGCATAGTGTGGATCAGCGTGTCGGCATAGGGGGTGGACCAGCGTGTCATTGTTTTTTGACGTATTCGTGGGTCGGGGTCCTGTTTTTGGTGTCTTTGTCTGGCTTGCAACCAAATCAACCCGGAAGGAACACGCCCAATCCCATCGGATCTCAAGCTAAGCATGCTTGAGCCTGGATAGCACTTGGATGAGTGACCACGATGCGCAAACAGGTCACAGGGTGCATGGCTACGTTGTGGGGGAGCAGACGGCAGTGCATCAAAATCCAAAGTTGTACTGTGCTTTCTGTGATTCCACTTCTATGCTCCGCCCCCAACCCCGTCCAGCTTCACACACCCACAGTGACAATTGGCTGCAGGTAAAGTATGGTCAAATAACCCACCAGGAACCACAGTGTGTGGGGAAGAGACTCTCTTCCAGCAGTGGTGTGACCGTAGGGCTGCACAAGAGACTCTCTTCCAGCAGTGGTGTGACCGTAGGGCCTGCATAAGAGACTCTCTTCCAGCAGTGGTGTGACCGTAGGGCTGCACAAGAGACTCTCTTCCAGCAGTGGTGTGACCGTAGGGCTGCATAAGAGACTCTCTTCCAGCAGTGGTGTGACCGTAGGGCTGCACAAGAGACTCTCTTCCAGCAGTGGTGTGGCCATAGGGCTGCACGAGAGACTCTCTTCCAGCAGTGGTGTGACCGTAGGGCTGCACGAGAGACTCTCTTCCTGCAGTGGTGTGACCGTAGGGCTGCACAAGAGACTCTCTTCCAGCAGTGGTGTGACCGTAGGGCTGCACAAGATACTCTCTTCCAGCAGTGGTGTGACCGTAGGGCTGCACAAGAGACTCTCTTCCAGCAGTGGTGTGACCGTAGGGCTGCACAAGAGACTCTCTTCCAGCAGTGGTGTGACCACAGGGCTGCACGCGTCCGCGTGCAGCCCTGCGATTGCTTTGGTGGGGCTGCGATGGGTGCGGGCGGCTACGTACGGCGTGAAAGAAGTTCAACATGCATGTATACGTGAAAGAAGAGCCCGTGGCGCCTGCTCTGCCTCAAACAAGTGAACTTGACGC